AGCAGGAATAAGAGTGCCAGGAGCACCCATCAAATCAATAATGTATTCACTGCAACAGAACAACAAATTAATAACAGCACTTGAAATTGTTCCAACATAAAGTAAAACCTATACCGTTAATGTTATTAGAAGGTCATTGGCCAAATATGAGGAGAATAATGTCAAATGATATAAGTTAAACAGTGGGCTTCAAATCCCTTGAAAGAAAAAAGTTCAAATAGAGCAACTTAAAGTCATTAAAATGTTAAAATAATAATAAAATGGGGTTGATGTACTCCAATGATCTTATGGACCAGTCTGCAACAATATCAAATCACTCCCTTACAATCTAAATCACAGTCAGTGCAATAGCCTATGCTTAGTTAAACAATGTTATATACTAGTTAAATACAGAAAGGTAGACCAGCTTCTCCATCACGTAGGAGTTGCAGTGTTTTACAAAGCATCAGAAATACAAAATGGAAAATGTTAAAGAAAAAAATGCTTTTGGAAACCCTGCCTCTGGAGTCTGGACCACCATGATGATGAAGTGTAAATGTGTAATATAGAATGTCTAACTCAATGGAACGCATAACAACTGTCATCAATTACATCAGAGGCTCATTGAATTAAAACTTCCTTAAAAGCAATAATATAAAGGGAATTAACATTCAATCATAAGATAAGTACCTCCCATCATCAGCTTTAATCAAATTCACAGCCCCATCGTCAGTTCCTGTATAATAGCTCCCTTTTACCAGCATGCAGGGAATGTTAATCCTATCAGCAAGTACCTAAGCGCCAGAGGACTGAAGTTAGTTTTAGTTCAAATCATATAAATTGCATCACCAACTTTAAAATTGAAGGTATTATATAACTTGTTTAGTACAATGCAAGGTTCTCAGTAAGGTTATACGGCGGATGGCGGCAAGGACCTTTAAGTGCCATATTTCCATGGCGGACATCATGGCAGACAAAATATATATATATATATATATATATATATATAATATGATGCAAAAACAGAAAAATAACAAACACATAGTCACATATTAAAACCAACAATATAACAATCTAAAATTCATGGCATTTATAATCTAGTGATAGTCATCATAAAGAAACATAAACCCCTAACCAACAAAAGGATTAAATAGCCATCAAAACAAAGCAACAATGTTAAAAAAGGAGGAGACTTGTGGAAGGAGAAGGAATGGGGCAGAACTGCACGTGGAGGGAAAAGGAGTGGTCACACGCAGAGGAGTAATGGTGGCGCACGGAGGAGCAGCGGTGCCACACGGAGGAGTAACAGTTGTCGTGGAGAAAGAACAACCAGTCTCGCGGAGGGAGAAGAGAAGAACCTGTCGTGCACAGTGGTGGTTGCGTTGGAGGTGCTGGCAGCAGCTCTCGCGTCGACAGCAGCACGTTGGTCGCGCATGGAGGGAAAAAATTAGAAACGGCTGAAACGCATGCACGGAAGGAGAAGAATCGCATGCGTGGCAGTTCTCGTCGTTGAAGGCGGTGGCGGTTCTCGTCGTCGGAGGCGGCAGCGGCAACGGCGGTGGCAGACGGTCTCGTCGGACGCGGTGGTTCCAGCAAGTGTGCGTCATGCACGGAGGAGGAGAATCAGACCTTCAACTTAGGGTTCCTTTGGCACGCGCGGCTACCCTATTTTGCAACATAATGGATCCCCCAACCCGGAATAAACCCTGGCCCAAACCCGGAAAAAAATATAAAATAAAAAACGACGCCATGACCGCCATGGACGCCATCCACCGCCACGCCATTTACCGCTGTGGCGCCGCCATACCGTTATGGCGCCGCCATGCCCGCCATTTAACAACACTGGTACAATGTGAATTTTGCACATTGTAGTTTTGTGGATATTAATTGGTTAGTACAATGTTAGCTTTGCTGCTAAACAGATTATAAGCATCAAAAAGATGTAATCATATCATCATATCATATGCATAATCCATTTTAATGACAACACATCTCAAAAACAGAATAAATAAGATGGGCCATAAAATTGGATGATAAGGAAAAGGAAATGTTTTTCCACATACAATTGGATGATGATAAAAAAAAATTGCACTAAAGCAGTTATCTTAACTCTCAAGTGTTCAAATTTGAATTTCCAATGCAAATCTCTTAAATCAACAAATTGAGATAAATGATAAATCTTACCTTAAAAAGCAGGGCCCGGTGACGCGAAAGACCGACATCCAGACAGCCAAGGGAAAGAACAATGGTTCTCATAGAATCCCGTAGCTCACGACTCCTCATAGCCCACCTCTTTGTAAGTTTATCAGCATTAACAACCGGTCCACCCATTCTATTAACAACGACATCCGCAAGCTTCTGGAGTAAGCCACTCAAAATCAGTCCCAGCTCAGAAACACAACACTCCTCGACCAAACTACACACCTTTCTCTCAAGCAGATTGAGCTCAAGATCAACCACGTGGTTCACCAAAATCACTTCACAGTCAACATCTGATACGGGAGCCATTTGCAGATCCACCAACAATGGCATCTTCCCCCGCTCAACCAAATTCGAGGTAACCCCATAAACATCATAAAACCCATCCATCACTTTATCATCATAACCAATCACATTGTAGTTCTGCCACAGTAACAAAACCACAAACTCTTAAAAACTACATTTCCAAAATAATTTCATCCAACAGTTTCATTTTTTTTCCTTTTCACTTTTCAATAACATCAAATGGCTGTCTACAAATAGCATATAAATAGAGACAGTTCAAACTTAATCCAACATCCAAAACAGATAAAAATAAATAATATAAATAATAAATAATATATATAAAAAAAAAAAAAAAAACAAAACAAAACTCTGAATAATAATATAATTAATTAATTATTAAATGTGATTTACAGGCGGCTAATTTCAGTTAGGAGAAATAGAAAACGAAAATGCCTTATATAGAAGCGTTATCCTAAATAATTATAATTATTAATAATTGAAATATTACCCAATAACGAAGGGATTGGAACTGAACTAGGGCACGAGTGTCAGTGAGAGAAGCCGAGTAACCGAGGCTGATCTGTTTGGCGGCGTCGATCTGCGCCGATTCGGCGGTGTCATGACGATCGGAATCGGAGGCGCTGATTGCGAGGGCGAGTTGCATCTGAAACTCCTCCTCTTGCAGGAGGTTGAAATCGACGACTTCGTTTTGCGCCTCGACGACGGGGCTCCGATCCGAGACGACGGTGGGCGAAGGGAGCGCGGAGGAGGAGGAGGAGGGAGGAGGAGTGTGGTGCGCGTGCGACAATGCGTTGTGGTCGTGATTGTGATTGATGGTGGCAGCGCCACCACCGATGTGAAGCTTTCTCAGAAGGTGCTTCATCTTTGGCATGGATCATCGACCGCAATGGATGATTGAGATTCTCTTAATCGATTCTATTCTATGCTTTTGCGTTTGCGTTTCGCGTTTCGCGTTTCGCGTTTCGCGTTTTCCCCTCAAACCGTTCCTTCAGGGTTTCATTCCCATTCCCTCCACTTTCTCTTTACTTTCTCTTCTCTTCCCAGTCCTCTCTCTTTTCTTTTTTTTATTTTTTTATTTTGAAATTAAATAATTTCGGAATTAATTATTTATTATTAATTATTGTTGATTGTTGGGATTTAAATCTAAATTTAAATCAAATAAATTTTGGCCTTCCAAGTTGCAACTTCCAACGCCGAGGTTTTATAATTTATTAATGGGGTGGAGCTGATTAAAAATTATTGATATTTGTTTGATTAATTAATATTGTATTTAGTTTTGAAATTTTAAGATTTTAAATTTGGGTTTTATTTTTATAAAATTGATTAATTTTTATTATTTAAAAATTTAAATATAAAATTATTTAAAAAAAATATGTAGTGCAGTTGTGGTTTCCTTGGGAGTGTGATTGGCTTGGTTGGATCCACACCTCGGAGGTTGTCGGTTCCTTGTTGGGTTTCGACGACCAATGCGTGGTTGTTGTGGTTCAACCTGGTCCTCGTCATGTTATATATTAACAGTATCGGTAACTGTTTTTTTCGGTCATATATGGTTTTGAGTCATTTAATTTTTGAATCCATGTCTAGTGTTATGTGTAGTTCTTTACTTTTTGATAATTCCTAGCTATGCTTGTTTTACTTTTTTGTGTTGTTTGTCTTTTGAAAATTTTTTCTGGATTTGGCCGAGATCCTTTTGTCTTTGTGTGCTCATAATTTTGTTTTTGATTTGAGTTCATAAACTACTATTAGATCATTAGTAGTTTTCCTAGTTCTAGGTTTCCTATGCTATAAAGTGTCTTACAATTTTTTGCCTAAATTTGTGAGTTCGTCTTGTGTAACTTTTAGTTGCTGAAAATTTTTGTTTAGAACATTTTTGAAATTCAAAATTGGAGCCAAAACCGTGGCATGTGTTTAAGACAAAGCAAGTAACAAAAGCATGTTACATTTCATTTCATTTTGACTTAATTTGCTTATCATTTACATTTTAATTTGAAACGGCTTTAAGGGATAAGATAATTTCCTATTAAGCTTATTTAAATGATAATGCATTAAGGAAGTCTCTCAACAAAGACTTGGTAGCCACTCCTTTGAACATGAGATCAAAGTGTCCCTTTTCACAAATTTTTACGATGTAACAAAGGTCACACTAATTGGAGTTCATCAGTCTTTGTGAGAAATCTCCTTGTGATCATAGGAATGTATGTGGTATGCATGTCCCTCCTTTTTACTCTCTCTTTTATATTTTTTTATTTTTTTTATTTTTGGAAAATGCATGATGCCCCTTTTTTAAAGAGGGAATGTATGATTCTCACAGATCTTATTTTCACACTAGGTTTTCTCTCACATGATAATGCATTTTTTTTATTTTTTTTTTGTGTTTTTCATTACCTTAGGGGAATTATAAAAAATAAATGAATGGTTTGAATAGACAAAATGCAACAAACATATGCTCATACAATCCACAAGCAGTCGCGTATAAATCCATGGTCTGTGGTCCCTGTTAAGAAAAGTGCATTGTATAGGGCGGTTCTAATTATCCTCACTTTGGTCTTAAGGTCCCCAAGGTGCCCCCATTATAGGGACCCAGTATCTCTGTCGCTGTCACCTGGCAAACTCTAAGGTCTGTCGTAGTATTTCGGGCTAGAGTAACCGGTTATCACCTTGAGTGTGATTTCCAACAAGGCTCGCAGGCTCCAAGGCCAAACTTGGGCCGGTCGTACGTCAACCACTCCCTATGTTTAATACTCTCATGCCCCCGGGTGTAGGGGGAACTATTGTGTGCAAAGGTTTGTGTACAATTTTTATTCCAAACATGTGCGCAATTTAAATGAACAAATAGATACCAAAGCTAAATAAAGAAAACAAATAAGGTAAATAGGAAAAATATTTAAATTATTTATTCTTATTTTATTAACTTCATCATTTATTTGGGCCTGACCCTCTTAAAACGTCTCCAGTGGAGTCGCCATCTGTCGCAACCCGAAAATTTCTGATCTCGCGACCTATGGTTTAGACATCCTTTTAAAAGTCTCATTAATTAAGAAATACCCAGACACCAGACTAAGATCGGAAAAAAAAAATAAACAAACAAAAACGAAAAACAAAAAAAAACACAATATAAAAAAAACAAAAACGAAAATAAAAATCAAAAAACGAAAAAAAAAAAAAACAAAATATGCAGTTGAGAAATCGGTTAACGTACAACCGATTTCTCACTGCAATGTTTTCTAACTTTGAAAAACTGAAAGTGAGAAATCGGTTCTCCCTTAACCAATTTTTCACCTTAAACAGTAAATGGGTCATTTTGATAAATAAAATGGGAGTGAGGTTATTCAGAAAAATAAAAAAAAAATTGATATATTAAAAAAAAAAGTCGTAAATACACTTCAAATACTCTATTTAACTGAAACTTAAACTATGTTTCACTGAGGGGAGATAAACATGTAAAAAATAAAGTAGAGAGAAAACTAAGTGAATAAAAATAAATAAATAAATGATAGAAATAAGATTGTTTGATTTAAAAAAATATATAAAAATAGAAAAAAATAATATTATAAAGTTATTTGATTTAAATTAATAAAATAAATAAATTATAATTAATAAAAATTTATAACTTTACCTTTTTATTACATATCAAAATACAATCAAATAAATATATTATTACTATATTGTAATTATGTTTATATATTATTGATGTACAATAAATATATATATATATATATATATATATATATATACCAAATTTAATAGAGCCTAATTAAAATAATATTCAAATAAAACAAATCAATTTTGAATAAAACAATGTATTTGAATAACAGAAGAAAAAAAATTCAAAAAAAATAGTCACATATTCAAATACCATCCGACGTATCGGAATAAAACACAATCTCACGTGTTCCATGTATTCAAATAAAAAATATATATATAATTTAAATATATTTTTAATCTCTTAAACTTAAAAATAATAATTCTATAATTTTTACAAATTTTATTTCAGTTCTCTAATTCGATTTAATTTGATGTTTTTATTGTAAGTAAATTTTATGTCATAATACTTAATAAATTTTATGACAAAATTTGAATATAAAAACTAAAATAAAATTTTAAAATTAAATAAATTAAAAATATAAATTTTAAATTTAAAAAATTAAAAATAAATTTATCATAAATTTAAGAAATAAAAAACATATTAAACAAAAAAAAAAATCAAAATAAAGGAGCTACATAGACAGTTTTTGGGGATAAAAATGTAAAAATAAATAAATAAATAAATAAAAATAACTTCACTCTCTCCTTACTATTTTCGCTCATTTTTACGATGAAATTTACGGACATAAATTCTTTGTCTGTCAGACACATTTTTTGAAGAAGCCATAAAAATATTTCAACGGATATATTTCTTATCTTTCCTTACTATTTCTTTGTTGTTTTTTTAGAAACAAACACATTGTTAATGTATAAACTTAAGTTTTAGCTAATAATAAACAATTAAAAAACATATTTTATTATTATTTAGAATTTATTCAAAATTTTATACTTTCATATTTTATTTTATTATTTATGTGTATTATTTTGTAAGAGTGGATTATATATTCTTTTTGATTATTAATTTTTCAAAACAAAGTATATGTATTTTCCTAAAAAGTTTAAAAATTAAAAAATATAAAATAAAAAAAAAACTAACGACCCTCTCAATTGATTTTTTTATAGTTGTGCATATTAAGAGTGAAATAAATTAAAGGTTTAGCTTCTTTATTTTTCTTAATTTATAATTTTTTATTTCTATAATTTAAAATATAGATATTTAGTCTTCCTATTTTTAAAAAATATGAAATTTTAGTCATATTATTAACTTGACATTCAATAATTATTAAATTCTAACGTTATACAATAATATGTTATTATTTGAGTGACATGTTATTTAATGACATAACATGATAAAATTAAAAAAAAAAATAATAAAAAATCTTTATTTATATATTTTAGTAATTGATTGATATTTATTTTATTAATAAATTTTATTTATGTATGTTTTTTTATCTTTAAATGTCATTATTAAATATTACATTATTTAAATATGAGAAAATATTAAAACTTAATAATTAATAAATGTTAATTTGACGGAACTAAAATTTTATATTTTAAAAATTAGAGAGACTTAATATTTATATTTTAAAATAGAGAACCAAAATTAAATATTTACAAAAATAGAAGAATCAAAAATGTAATTTAGCTTAAATTAAAAATATGTCATTTACACAACGATTATATTTTTGTAAAATAAAAAATCTAATTCTTTGAAGGTTTTTCAGGCACACACATTACAAGCAATAAATGTTTATTTTAATTTTTTTTTATTATCTAATTCACATAAATATGTGTATCTGAAATTTTTTTGAATAGTTAAATAATTTTTAAATAATTTATCTAATTCTTCTTTTTACTTTCTCTTTTGAGTACTCTATATTTAAAAGTTTTTAATATAATAATTATTATAATAAATAATTTTAAAATATTTAAATTATATTATAATAAAAAATTAATTTTACTTATTGATAATTAAAAAAGAACTAACTACATTTGTTTTGTTTGAGATAAGGATAAGTATCAACACTAACAAAAAAAAAAAATAATGTCAAAAATCAAACACAAGTATTGTGTGATATATTTTTAGAAGACAAAGATCAAGGAAAAATAATGGAGGAGGAAGAAGAACAAATAAAGAAAGCAAAGATTGAGTGTTGCTTTCATCAAATTTGAGATATTTGTGCATTCAAAATATAAAAGTGGTATGGATACCATTTTTCTGGTTCTTTATTGGGTCTTTCACTCTTGACAATGAATGGATTTTCTCCCAAATCTAAAGAGCATGAGTGCAACCAAGAAAGCAAGAGAGTATCACACTTGACAATGAAGATTGAATCCATGATAGAAGACGTTGATCCCATTGTTCCTAAACAAGAAACATAGGACTAACAACATTCAAATTACAATCTAAAGTAGTGAGAGATTTGGGAGGAATTGTTGATGCTCCAAGATA